TTCTTTTTCTTTATTATCAATTAATTTTCTTTTTCTTTATTATCAATTAATTTTCTTTTTCTTTATTATCAATTAATTTTCTTTTTCTTTATTATCAATTAATCTTCACTAATAAAATGTGTTTAACAGCATGGAAATATATTTCCGCGTTATTGGCTTCATATCAGTCTGAAGTATTACGAAGAGGACAAACATCGGGTTTATCAATTGTAACAAATTATCATGAAGTCTTGTAAGCTTGAACTTGTAAACTCGTTTCTTTATGCGCTGTATACTGTATTACCGATCACTAACAAATATTTATTGAAAACATTAGGAGTTTGTTCTGTATTCTATTATTCTATTATTACAATCCGATAAATTTTCAGAGTTACAAGTCAAAAAATACTCCAGGAACACTCTACAAGTTTGCGAAAAAGCATGTGTGATATACACACAATGAAAGTTAAACTGTAAAGTCTATATTTCGGGAGTATATTGAGTTATTGTAAACTTGTATTGAGGCAATACTCTCCTGAAAATTCAATTATTATAAGTTTTTTATTGGATTTATTATATTAGATTGCGGCTGATGAAGATCTTGGATTAGAAAAGCAGAAAAGGCTGTGAGAGAATCATTTGCAATAACTTTTCCTAACCCCCACGGATCAGGATATACTTTATTTGATATAATACAATTTATTTTCTTCCAGTTGTAAGATTAAATCATGAATATTTTTTTTCTTAACTGTTTTGATTTTATAATGCTTTTTATTTTGTTTTAAAACAAAAACATTCCTATCATGCCATTAGATGACCTTAGTGAAGGAACATTAAAGGCCAATATTATCAGCCCCGTTTTACGTTCGTTTTTTTATAATTCCATGTTTCATGGTCCGTAGCTTGCTAATTTGGATCCGTCACGTGCCAAACAACCGGATATGATTGGAAATATTATAAATCCGTAGATAATATTATTAAGGAAACCGGAAGATGTTGTAGTCTTTGGATGGCAAACAATTGGTAACTATCTGCCAAATTATTATATGCTAAGATTGCTCACTAAATTGTTTATACAGTACGTTTAATGTTATATAATATTTAGTAACAGCATGACAAGCTACACGATGTTTCTGACTGTTCCAGGGATTTATATCATGTTTGAAGTTGGACAAGCTGAGCTTCCTAGGTCCTTTCGAACTTGTGGGCAGTTTATTGATGGTGTTGATTAGTTTGTTTATGTTCTCGGTATGCTTGGATATAATTTTTTTTTTTTCCTGGTTTAACCAATTTTAAAACTAACAAGCAATTTTTATTAAAAATTAAAGGAGAAATGCAAACATGAAATACGAAAGATTGATAATTATATCAATCAAGAAAAAGAAGATAATGTAAAACTTGATAGTTGGTGCCAACCTACACTCGAATCACCACAGTTTCGGAAACTAATCGATACTTATAAATGAGTTATATTAGTTCTTATAAAAAGTCTACGCATTCCTAAAATCCTACTGCATACACAATTTCTATTCAACGTCATGTAATTTAGTATTCTTGCAAAATAAAGATTGCTGTATTTGCACTTCACGCTTTTTATTTTTCAACTCGCGTGATAATAAAATTCATATACTGTCAATTTTCACTTTGATTCGAGAGCAAGGTATGTCGTGGCTGTGTATTTGCAATGAGACTTGTAAGCTATCATTTTTGCGTCCATATTTATGAGGCATCCCGAGGTCAACGATAATTGCAATGTATACAGTATATCCTGACTCTGGTGACAATCACATGAATTTTTGTATATCATCGCATGCATACTTTTGATTGGCCAGCGCATATATGCGGCCATCCTAATGCGTATATGAAGGTCATCTGACATAAGGGCGATTTCGTTTCTTAAAATGCATAGTACGCGTTCCAAACAATGGCCTACGCGTGCCAAGGAAAAGCCGAGACAAACCGATAGAGTCATTTCACCTGAGTCGATATTTCATTGGTTGAAAAATGATCTTGGATATCGTCACAAACGCAACTTGTTTAATGACTTGCCGGAAAAGGAATTGTCCATAGAGGAAATTCAAAAGTAGTTATTTATTAACTTTATTTTGCGTAATTCTCAAAGCTTTTTTTAACAAGCACAATAATTATTATTATATTAGATTTTACCGAGGCGAATTCGTTCCTATCTTCAAATTCTTGGTGGAACGCGTCAAATCTTCGAAGTAAGCCTTTATCTGCATCTTCACGCGTCGTTACATAATTCGAGTTTACTTGTACGTTTCTCACGCGCATTAACCATTCAGAGAAGTTGTTCAGCATAAAAAATCAAAAACTTTGTATGTAAAAGTTCGTTTTGCCATTTTTTTTTCTCTATAAATACCATGTCGATTACTTTATTTACTATTATCGAAATACACTTATAGAAATCTAAGTCAACCCACAAAATCTCATCAAACAAGACGTCACAAGGAGACACCGAATGAAGTGAACTATGTGACTCACAAAGCAATATTAGATAAAAAGATGGCGCAAATTATGACAATTTTTGAGGAAGAAGAGATACAGACTGAACAACTGATCTCTAGAATTTCGGATATAGGTAATCGATTTTAATGCACTATTAATTTGAGATTGATTTTAACTTTCTGCTTTCTTTAAAGAATCGCAGAACCGACGCGTTAAGGAAGAAATACGCGAAAAATATAATAAGTTATACATGAAAAAGGTATTCCGCGAAAGTTGCAGGTCGTTTGAAAGCATTGAAAATGAGTACCGGAGACGCTGTGAAGGCTTCATTAGGAAAAAAGGATCTAAGAACGACATAAAGTAATTAACCGAGCAATGCTTTTGGTTTATTATATAAATCCTAACTTTTCATCGACTCCTCTCCAGTTCTGCGATAACGGGAACAGAGACGACCACAACGGTAGATATAATAATTGATTAGTGCACTCCTTACCATCAATGACTTTACAATTATCTTTGCAAATAAGATTAGAATCAAGGGTATTGTAGAAAAGCTGAAATCAGTTGTGAAGGGATCAGTGTTCAGGTTTGTATATTTATGAAATTCGATGAAAATAGTTTAGGAATATTAATAATATATATATATATGTTTATTTATTTATTTATTATTATTAGTCGGTCAAGTCCTGATAATCAAAAAAAAACAAAAATCAGATTTTTAATCGAGGTTGGTATTATGGATTTGAATTGTGTTCACAAATCAATTTGTTTTTTCAATATGCAAAGTTTAATACATAAGGCTTTGTTTTATTCAGGACTTGACAAAAACAACGTCACCAAAAGTAATGCTCAAGTCTGTTTCTAACATGACGAAGTCAACTGTAAAGGAATTAAGGTACTTTGTCTATGTGGTTAGTTAATGAAAACGTGAAAAAGCGCGATATAATAAATATGGTTTCATATATGTTTAGCACAAAGTCCATGTATTATACAGAAGAAAAAAGTTCTACAGATTCATCGCATCAAGTTCAGCGGCTGTTACAAGTAACTATTAAGTTTATCAATGAAATATATTTATTAAAATTTTTACTAAATTGTTTCAAAATAAGAAACGTAGGGAGGACTATGTGTCAAAATTTATAGAAATTGAAGGGATGCTAAATAGCATCGCACAAATTAAGGAAAGAATCAATAGAATTATGGAGTCAACCAAGACATATCTGAGCCAGCAGCATTTTCAGATTCCAGATGTGGATGCCCTAGTAATGTAAATATTATAGATTTAATTTTTTTAAATCTTCACTAAAATCCTATTGTAATTTTCAGATCAGCCTTAGGAAAAAAAGTTGAATATGAAGCTACCAAAGCAAAATATAACTGCATTTTGCGTTTTACCCAAGTACTTGAATCCCGGTATTGTGAACTAGGTTCGTCTAGTGATAAATTGACAACCTTGGTCGATCAAGTTTCGAACTTAAATGAAGCTATTGTAATTTTTTTTTTTTTTTTTTTTTTTTTTTTTTTTTTTTTTTTTTTTTTTTTTTTTTTTTATCCAACGCAATTGATGAGCTATTTTGATTTAACGAGATTTTATTTATTTATTTATTTTAGGAACAGAAACAAGATATTATTGATCGGTTGATTTTCATTAACCATCAAATTAAGGCAAATCTTCCTGAAAAATCAAAAGAGGTACGCGGTCATTATTTACTAAATTTATGTAAATTATGTCAAATTAATTGTAATTTTTGATAATAGATATGGGGATTCTTACAAGGAGAACTTTATCCTTTCAGTGAACGTCTAAATAAAATAGTCAAAGACCTGGATTGTATGATGATACGAGAAAACGAACAGTTTCTAAATATAGATTTGAAGCTAGCCTTACAGACAGATTTGAATGGGTAACACGCTTAGTTAATGAACTTGGCGTCTCATGACAAATTCTAATACAACTTTCTTAATTAGAGATCGACGAGGTGTTAATTCGCTTGATATTAATCGTGTATGCGAAGAGAGACCTTTGCAGGAATTTATGGATGTTGTAAAGTGTCCAAGATATTTGGTGAGTTCAGTCTCTAACTATTAAGTAAATAGTACTTTGTATATAGCCTACTCACGCCTCTTACCTACAAAAGGATGTTGATAGTATCTTTAGAATTATAACAGATTTAAAACGCGAAGGTGATTCTTTTACTCGATGCGAATTTATTTTCTACTTCTATTGATTATCATTTTATTTCATTATTACTAGAGGTTGCCTATGAATTTACGAGAACAAATTTAATCGAAAACTTCTACCCATGTCACAGTGAAATGCAAGAAATCGGTAATACGAATTTTTTTATATTTTACATTGAGGATTTATTCGAATTAACTCTAATACAATTTATAGCTAATTGCTGGTTGTCTAATGCACGATTCATGGAAATCGATCGTGATGGTTCCGTTACATATAAGAAAACCATAAATGACATGCAGAGTGCGGTGGAAATGATAAAAGGTATGGTCGAAATGATGAAATTCCGACCTTTGTGATTGGTAATAATTTGGATAGTCTTTATTAGATTTATTGGAATATAAAGAAGAGGATTTCTTAAGTAACGAAGCCTCTAAGCTTAATGAAGAAATCGAAAAAACTGCAATCGCAGAAAATTTGTATCAGGAAACCGAGGAGATTTTTAAAGAGGTTGGTTTAATTTGTCTTCATTAAACATCTCTCGCTGCATACTTATTAAGCTACATTTCTTATATAGTCACAACTTTACCGGCAATTAACATAAACATAATCCAAGTTTTTTTTTGTTGTATTATTCTTGTGTTCTATATCAAGAGTTTTAAAAACTATATTAAGTTATAATTCAATAAACTAGCCATTTTTTTTTAATTTTACAATTATTTTCGATTTTTAGACAAATAAGCATGTACAGTATATTGTTCTAGTTATTAATAAATTCATATTTATTTTATTGATTTTAAATTTATTTTATGTATACTGTATATATTTTTTAACGAATTAGTTTATTGTTTTTAATAGTAAAATCACATACGTATTGATGTTTTATATTTATTTATTTTTAATCTGAAGAATTTTTACTTAATATTTCACAAGTTTTTAAGGAAGCATTTTCTATTACTTATTTGTAAATTAATTACTAAGTAACTCCTTGGTATTTTTTTTTTTTAATTATAGGAAATCCAAAGACTTCTTTAATACTAATATTGTATAGTATATGAATAGGTTTGAAAAAATTGTTAAATTGTTGGTTATATATTGTTAATCATATGTTTGTTAGTTTAATATAAGTTCTCAAAGATTTTTTTAATATATTGTATGTTTCTTCCAAATTTAATTTTTTAAGAATTTGTCAGATTATTTTGATGATCTATATTATCTTATTTTTTTTTTAACCCACAGTCAGGTTAGCATGGCATGTCTTTATTGTAGATATACAAAGATATTTACAAGATATTTTGACTTTTACATACTAACTCACTCATCATTGAAAACCTATTTCTCTAGATATAACTTAGGAAATGATATTTTGCTTCTTTACTAACTTGAATAAATCCTCTAGTCAATAAAATCATTGCCTATAGTTCATTACTATAGATTATTCTAAATTTCAACTATAGTTTAAAACCAAACCATTTTCTTCTATGACAAACCCAATTCTTAATGATTTTCATATGCTTCTTTCTCTCTTTTCTTTCAAAAGCTTCCTCTTTCAGGTCTTCTAAGGATGTTGAAGATTCTTTCCATTCTTGTATAGTTTATGCACTTGATCTATACTTAGGTCTTTTGGAACTTTTATCCTTTTCAATAATATTCTATTTCTTTTCCTACTCTATTACTTTAGTACAATAGCTATTTCAGATATTCTTTTTAAAGTTTTTCTTCATTTTACGACAAAGCTTATTGATTATGCTTTGTGTAAATATTGGAGGAATTTTGAATTGTGCTTTGAGGTGATTCTTCAAAGAAGTAGTTTCATTTTCTTTTATGTATTCACAAATAGTGTTGAAAAGGTTTCTATTGGATTGTTGGATCTTGTCTAGTTATCTACTTGTCAATTATTAGTTGTAAGATAAACTTCTTTCTTATATTTAATTTCTTTATGAATGTAGTGATTAATTTTCTCTTTTACTTTCTGCCATATATCTTCTCTGACTTCTTTAATGCCTGAATATTTAAAAAGATGTTCTAATATTTTTTTTTGAAGTTTACATACTAGGTAAGTTGTTATAGTATAAATATCTGATCTTCTTTTCTTGAGTATCTGTAGTATTGAAAGTTTATTATAAATTAAGTTGATTAGAAAGCTTTTGTCTTTATTATCTTTTAAAAAGGTATCAAAGATATTAGATGGATTGAATTAATTTCAAAAGATTAATCAATCTATTATTTTATTTTTTTGGATTCACAGATCTTGAATCCTTTTTTGTATTATCCAGTCTTTCTCAATTCTTTTTTTGTTATATGTTTTAATAAATTCTCTAATATTAATCTCTATTATATATTCGTTTCATGTAACTATTGTAAGAACTTTTTTTAACTCTGATAGTTGATTTCAGATTATTAGATTCTCATGTCTAGCTTGTTTAGTAAGTAAATCTATCTAATTATTGAACTTGTTCATCCCATGAACCTTGACCTTTGCAATTTCCAAGATAAGATCTTTTTTTTTTACTAGATTTTTGATCTTATTTCATATTTCCAATTGCTAATGTTTGTTCATCTTCTTGTAGAGATCACAATGAATTGGATCAAATCAGATTTTAGATTAATCTGATCTAAATCTGATCGGATCAGTTTTTATTTGATCTGATTCGAATCCAAATGGATTTATTTTTATATGATCCATATCCATTCGGTTAATCTGATATTTTTTTAACTGTGTTTTTTTTTTTTTTTTTTTTTTTTTTTTTTTTTTTTTTTTTTTTTTTTTTTTTTTTTTTTTTTTTTTTTTTTT